TGACTCCCTTCATGGGCAGAAACTGTTGGCTCCTTTCACCCAGCTGGCCTCTGGCTACTCACTACGAGAAGGAGCATGCAAGTAAGCCAGTGCAGGAACCAGAGGGAATGAACACTGGAACCAGCCAGAGGGAGTAGGCTCCTCCTCTGCAGAGGAAGTAGGTTCTGTGTGGCCCTGCAGCAGCATCCAAGTCCCTGCCCTCTCAGCACATGGGTTCTTGTCCAATGTCCAGAAAAAATCAGGTCATGCAAATGGATTGAAGGGCAGTGTATGTGGAGGATTTTTCTGTGTGATGGTTCTCATCAGGATGGGAGTGGGAAGGGGGCTGGAGCAGAAAGATGATCTTTCTCTAAGCCTCACCTCTGAAGTTAGCCACGCCTATCCATAGACTCCAACCCTCAGCCGCGCACATCCCCAACCACTTGCACTGACTCCTTGCCTCAGCCGCTTGTGTTGCTCTGCCAGCTGAAGTCTTTTTATGGGGACAGGATAGGGGCATGGCAGGCCAGAAAAGCAACATTTGGACAGAGAAATGGGGTCAGCTGTTTGCGTTTAGGGTTGCGATTCTAGGCTTAAGGGTGGGGTCTGGCCAGGAGCCAAGAGCCCAGCCACTCTGTCATTTACCCCTCTGAAGAGGCACATCTAACTGCCGTTAGAATATGGACGATGACCAGTCTTAGCTACTTCCTGCTGAAAGCGGGCATTGTTTGAGGAAAATGGCAATCAGATTCCTCTCAGAGGTTTACCTAAGGATCCCCGGCAAAAGGGAGCCGTCTTCCAAGGCTCAGGCTGCATGCCTGTTCGCTGACTTGATGGCCTCCAGGCCAGAGAAAACACAAGCTTTACAAGGTTAAGTATGCATGGATCAAACATGCATATTATGCAAGGAAAGAATTTAGTGTCAAAGATAACAGAAATAAGAAGTGAAATATACTAACAACATTGCACCTCAAGCCGTCTCATCCTGGTGAAAAAAATTAAATCTTGTATGGGAGTGGTTAAACTTTCAGATAACTGTTCTTGCCATATCTGTAGCAGTTAACATGTGAATGTTAGGAATTCTGGAATTCATGGGCTTGCACGGTGGTCATTAAAGCTTCTGCCTCTTTCTTATATCTAAAAGACCAAGGTGGCCATTTTCAGGGGGTCCCCTAAAGTGCCATCTCGACCCAGGGTCTGTTTCTGAGTATAAACGGTTGATGGTAAAGTCTGTTGGTTGCCCATTGTAAAAGAGGGAATTTGGGGAATCCCTCATTCCCTTCCTTCTTTCAGCAAAACTTAGGGTGTGAGGGAGAAAGACAGAGGGTGTTCTCCCCTTTTCTATCCTTATCCCTGAGTCCCAGTGATCTTGGCAGGTGCCACCTGTGGGTGTCAAAGCACTCTTACCCACATGCTCCCTCTCTCCCCTGCTGTCAACAACCTTTGAGTTCCCTGGGCCTCACCTATGCCATGCAGCATGGCCTCCTTCCATGAAGCAGGGGTTTCAATGGCAGGTATTTGTCCTGCCTGTTTACATTGTGCCTGTTGCCTAACTTTGGATCCCTCAGATCCGGGTTTCCTTTCCAGGGCCTCAACCTGAAGTCAGAATCAAGTCTGAGATTTAAAAAAAAAATAAAAAGGTATTTCAAGGGCTGCATAGATTCACTTAGATTAGGTTCCACTGGCTTTGGCAAATTTCAGTTACCAGTCAGCAAGGGCTGCTCCTCTGTGGTTTCCCTATCATTAGCAGGGTGCTGAGGTAGGAAGAGAACTCTCTTCCTTAGAAAAGCAGAGAAACATCTTAAAGTGCATAAGGGCAGCAGTGTGGGGGTTGAGGGAAGAGCCTCCTGCTTTGTTCAAAAGGGTTCCTTTAATCACTGTATCCCATCTTCAGTTCAGGGGAAATGAAGCCCATATTCCTTTCCCTGGTGGAAAGAGAAACATGGCAGGGTCTTGAAAAAGAGGCAGATCCCACAGTTCTCCATGTTAACTAACCATTTGATGTATCCTGGACAAGTCCCCAGATGAGATGGGATTGCTCCCTTGGCCCTCTTTGTGGGTGAAAGCTGGAGTGACTCCTTTCACCTAGCCCACTGCTGGCCACTCCTCATGAAAGGGACCATGAGAGCCAGTGATTGCAGAAGCTGGAGGGAACAAACACTGGATCTGGCCAGTTGCCCCTCTCTGGCTGGAGCAGGCTCTGTGTGGCCCGCAGCAGGGTCCAAGCCTCTGCCCTCTTGGCACCTGTGTTCTTGTCCCGTGTCCAGGAAAAATCAGGTCACTTGAACATATTGAAGGGTAGTGTAGTGTACGTGGAGGATTTGATTGGGTGATGCCTCTCAGTGGGATGGGAGGGGGAAAGGGGATGCTGTGGAAGGAAGATGATATTTCCCTGGAGCCATGCCAACTGAAGTTAGCTGCTCCTTTTCTTGGAGTGGGGAGGGTTCAAGTGATTCTCCTACCTATCTCCCAAGTGGTTGGGATTACAGGCACGTGCCACCAAGCCCAGCTAATTTTTGTATTTTTAGTAGAGACAGGGTTTCACCATGTTGGCCAGGATGGTCTCGATCTCCTGACTTTGTGATTCACCTGCCTTGGCCCCCCAAAGTGCTGGAATTACAGGCGTGAGCCACTGCACCAGGTGGAAGTTAGCAGCTTCTATCCTTAGTCTCCAGCACTCAGCCACTTGTATCCCCAATGTTCAGCAGCCTACATCCCCAACGCTCAGCCGCTTGCATCCCTGACCACATGCATCATCCGCTTGTATTGTGCTGCCAGCTGAAGTCTTTTTATGGGCACAGGATAGGGATGTGGCAGGCCAAAAAGCAACATTTGAGTGGAAAAACAGGGTCAGGTATTTTCACTTAGGGTGGTGGTTCCAGGCTTAAGGGTGGAGTTTAGCCGGGAGCCCAGCCATTCTGTATCACTACTTTGGAGTGGGAACACTGGGCTAGGCAGCCTCTGTGAAAACCACCCTTGATGGGAGAAAACTAGAGATAAGGAGGATGTGGACTGAGATGGGTCTTCTGCCACAAGAGCCAGGTTTTATTTTTCTCTACTGCTATGGAAATTATTCATCTTGGCTTTACTTTCTGTGAGTTATCATTCAATTTTATAAAATAAGAAACACATAAACACGTTTATGTATGTAGGTTTGTGTGTGTGCATGTATACAAATACATGTATATATGCTGTGCAAAGACCCTGTAGTCAAACTAGTTACATACATAGGAAAAAGACTCAATGGATATGTGAAATATGATAGTAGAAAGTGAAAAACTTTCTTCTTCATATGTGAACCATGAACATGTACTCATTTGTAATGAGAAGAAAATCAATACAATGTATTTTTAAAGTCAACACATTTGAACAAATATTTTTCTAGCAGCCAAGTTCAAAAATAAAGCCATATTCCAGTCTCATTCCTTTGCATTCAGGAAGCACTTGTCAAATATATCTTCCACGTTCCTGATTTGATTTTCATAGAATAATTCTGCTTTGAATGAATTTTTAAATTCCATTAGAGCATGTTTACTTACCTGAATTTCTTTCCTTATCTAATTTCTTTTTAATTTCTGTTTTATCTCAATCTGTTCCCTTCTCAGCTCAAATTTCTTATCATTCATCTTTCATGTCATTTGTCCACATTTCCTTGAGCCCTGAAAGTACAAGGAACATGCTAGTGAATAGTTTCTTCTGTTTATTGCAGTAATATTTTAAACACAATATTTCCTTCTAGTTTTTTCTTTATGTCGCAGCATTACTTCATAGGCTCCCTACTGGTTTGCATTTAATTTCCTCATCCTTAAATGATAGGAGATACATCAAGAACTCTTTATTCCAAGCCAAGGCATTCTGCACATTGCTTGGATGCTGTTAAACTCAGGTCTGGGATCTGAGCTCGATGATCTCCAGTTCAATGATGGAAGTTCAATGACCAGTTCAATGATCTCCAACACCCTGGGAAGAGTGGGCCAGAGGACGTTCCCTTCAGCCGGGTGACTTCTTTGGTTTTTAGTGACGTCTGCATGCTGGGAGCCAGACAGTGTCGCTTGACTTCCTTTTAATTTCCTTGGTAAGAAGTCCTAACCCAATGACGAGAAACTGTCCATTGCCACCATGCTCAAGAACTTCTGTTAGCAGCCCTTGACTCCCTGAGCTCCAGCTAGAATTTCTTCTGACTGCTTCTGGTTACTTTCCAGTGCCACCTCCTACAACTCAAGAGAAGAAAATGATTCTAAACAGAGGTGGATCCCCAGCCACTGCTGAGCCCTTTGTATGGTGTTGATGCCTGTGCCCTGGACCTCCCACACAGATGCTCTTAGATCTTTCATTCCCCTTGTTCTGGGGTGTCATCTTTGCATCCCTCCTACTCAGTAGCTGCTACAGTCCCCAGCACAATTGTCCTGGAGCTCAGCCTACAGAGACATAAGATTCTAAGATCAGTGTTTGCCCACCTTACATACTGTCTCCACTTCCACTCCTTGCCTCCAAGTGAGGGGTGCTCATGGAGTTTAAAAATCCCTGATTTCTGTCATTTATCAAGTCCTGTTGACCTTAATTTTTCATATAAACCCATCAATAATTTATCTAAAAGAAACCACTGTATATTTCTAATATGTCATTCATACTCTCCTAGCCATATTAAGAATGCATATATGGTGCCTAAGTTTGAGGCAGGAGAATAGGGTCTGGAGGTAGGGAATCTAAGGCTAATTCATGTGGACTTCCTTGAACTAAATTGAAAGGAAAACCCCAACTTTCATGCCTAAGTAACAAAAGGACCAGAAGCTACTCCCTTTGCAACCCCACCCCACCTTCTACATGGCAGATGAAAAATTGAAAGTACCTCTGATTGGTTGCTTTCCACAACCAATCAGATGTTTGCATAGGACTGTAAGTTTGTAACTTCATGTTAGCCTCTGAGTGGTTGCCTCTGCAATCAATCAGATGTTTGCATAGAAGTGTAACCTTTGTAACTTCGCTTCAGCGTCTGATTGGTTGCAGAAAACAAACTGATTGAGGGCCACCACTTCATTTACATGGAGTGGACACCAAATAACTAATAGGAAACCTCTAGTGGGTATTTAGACCCCAGAAGATTCTGTAAAAGGGGCCCTTGAGCCACTGCTTGGGCCTGCTCCCACCCTGGAGAATTATACTTTCATTTTCAATAAATTCCTGCTTTTGTTGCTTATTACTTTCTTGCTCTGCTGTGCATTTTTTCCCATTCTTTGTTTCAATTATTTGCAAAATGCCTTATCTTGGCATAAATAGTTCTTGATGCAAAGAACCTGAACAGCTTGCAGTCAAGACCCTCTACTGGTAACATGTTTTGGAGACCCAGCCAGGAGGTAAGCCCAAAGTTTGGGATTTATTTTTCTCCTCTCCCCTTTTTTTCTCTGCTGTATATAGGGGAATCTTTCTTTCTCACTCTCTCTTTTCCTTTCCATATCAGGATGCTTGGTGCACAGCATCTAAGAACAAAAGCAATTGCAAGTTGCTGGCCAGGGCCACTCTAGTAAAACAGAAAGGTTTCCATGCAGAAGCCCCTGACCACCACCACCCAGTTCAGGTGAGGGACCCGAGTCTTTTCCTCATTTTTTTTTCTTTTTCTGAATCCTATTCCTTTTTTCCTTTGCCTGAGTTTTTTGTTTTGTTTTGTTTTTTCCTTTTTCAGCATTTCAGCAGCTATTTCCTAGTAGCTCTCTGGTAAGTGAGGGCAACTGTCTGGGGCCACTTTCTGGTGTTGTCTGAAGGCCAAAGAGTGAATAAGGATGACTGCCCTGCCCACAAAGGGAAAAGACTCTTTTCTACTCTTTCTGGTTATAGTTCCTGATTCCTATGTGTGACACTGCTGGCAGCAGCAGCAGCTTGTCAAGGGAGAACTCACACCTGTTTCAGGCAACTCCAACCTTCTTTTCTTATGCTAAATTCTTCCCTTCCTCTGCTTGATGGGCAAAGGACAAAAAAAACCCCACCTAGCTATGCAAAATGGGCTATACAACTACCTGCTTAAAGAGAGAGATGTTTAGGACAAGTCAGAGGGTCCAGGCGTGTCGTAGGTGGTTTATGTGGGGCATGGGTCGGGGATTCATGAGAAAGGGAATTTATGCAGGGACTGATGTGTGGGTTTATTGCTTAAATTTAGAGGGTTAAAGGGTTGCTTTAAGTTGGATAGAAAAATCGTGAGGAAAGTTCATAGTAGGTCGTCAGTGGTGAAGGGAACCAATCCAAAGTGGTGCCAGCACCCATCTAAGGTCAGAGACATTTAATGGACTAAGTCAGGGCCCTAAAGCTGGGGCACCCTTGGGGACCCCAGTCAGGGCCTAGAATTTTTCCAGGGAGATGCCCAAGGTAAAATTCGGGTCACTTGATAAACCATCCACTTTTAAAAGTCCTCTTTTCTTTTCCAGGCCACTATGAGCAACTCTCAGTCTATTTTACTTGATTCCTCGCTTGGCTACATCTCCACCATTGGAAGCAATTTGACCCTGACAATCTAAAGAAAAAGCATAATTTTTTTTCTTCAATACTATCTGGCCCCATTATGAGCTGCCCAGCCAAGAACAATGGGCAGCCAACAGTAGCCTTTATTAGGACACTATCCTTCAATTAGATCTGTTTTGCAAGAGGCAGGACAAATGGTCAGAAATCCTCTATATACAGCCTTTCATGACCATGTAAAACCTAACAATCTGCAAAACTCCCAGAACCGACACTCCAAAGGAAAGTTCTAAGGCAGAACTAGATATTATAGATGACCCCATTTCTCAAGGACCACCTGTCTTTCTGGGTGAACAGCAACTGCCCCCATATCGCCCCTTGCCAAGTGCTCCTGAGGTTAAAACCCAGGAGCAGACACTGGGGACCCTACTAAGCACCCCTCACACTTGGAGCGGAACACTTTATTCAACTCTCCCTCCACCCCTGCTACCCTTTAGGGAAGTAGCAGGAGCCAAGGGGCCAGTTCTAGTGCAGGCCCGCTTCTCTATAACTGACATACAACAATGTAAGGGGAATCTATTCTGAGAATCCTAGGAAATGTGCAGATGGGTTCCAAACTTTGACCTCAGCCTTTGAATTCTCATGGAGAGATGTTCAGTTCATTTTAGCAACCTGTTTCACTCCCTCAGAAAAGGAATGAATCTTTGAGGCCACCCACTGGGAAGTAGATGAATTATTCACCCGAAACCCTCAGGGCAATCACTGGAGCTCAGATACAGTTCCTGTTACTGATCCTAACTGGAACTGTAACACCCCCGTGGGAATGAACAACCAGGATAAATTTCTTGAGGCTCTCCTTGGAGGAATGAGAAAGGGAATAACTAAGGAAGTAAATTATGATAAAGTAAGGGAGGTTACACAAGGCAAGGAGGAAAATCCAGCCATGTTTTATGGCAGGTTGGAAGAAGCCTTTAAGAAATATACTACCCTGGACCCTTCCTCTCCCAAAGGCAAAATATTAAAGGCATAGCATTTCGTTAGTCAATCCGCCCCAGTTATCAGACATAAGCTCCAAAAGCTACAGATGGGGCCACAAACTAATCAAAATCAGCTTCTTGATACTGCCTTTGTGGTGTATAACATGCATGACCTGGAGGAAGGAAAAGGGGAGCAGAGTAAAGAAAAACAGCAAGCCAAAATCATGGCAGACATCATTGGTGAGGCCGTGAATATCCAATAAGTGTTTAGAGGAAACTCAAAGGGCTATAAAGATAATGCCAGCAAAGCCTTTTGCTTTTAATGCCAGAAAAATGGGCATTGAACAAAGGAATGTACTAAGCTTCCACCAGGTTCCTGCCATCAATGCGAATGCACCAGTCGTGATCCCTGGCACTGGAGAATTGACTGCCCCTGCTCCCACCGAGGGTCTCATTCAGGCAAAACTCTAGCAGTGCAAAAAGGAGGAATTAGATGAAGACTGAGAGGGCCCGGGATCTTCCTAATCACCCCTGTCCAGGAACTCTGTAATTACTACTGAGGACCCTCAGGTAACTCTGGACATCAGGGGCACTCAAATTTAGTTTATTTTCAAACAGGGGCGAATTACTCTTTCCTGGTCCATGGGTGTTATGGGATTGAAAGGAAAGCCTCAAACAAGATTCTTTACTCCTCCTTTGATTTGTCAATTTGAGAAACAAATCTTTCAACAGAAATTTCTAGTAGTACCAGGCTGCCCAGTCCCCCTGTTTGGAAGAGATATTATGGTTAAAATAGGGACACTACTATAATGTAAGCATCACCCAGTGAGACTGCTGGTGGTACCTTCTTGTGTGTAGCTTAACTCAAGGGGGATCTGACAAAATGCCATAAAAACTTTGAATTTCCTGGAAGTCATGGGTACAGTGTCCAAAAGGAAGGCTCAGATTACCCTCCAACAGGTCCAATATTTAGGGTAAGTCTTAACACTCAAACCCGGCAAAGATCTCCAGAACGAGTGCAAGCCATACATGGTTTGGGCCCCACCCCACACAGCAAGCAGCAGCTCTGTACTTTTTTGGGAATGACTGAGTGTTGCAGAATGTGGGTACCAAAGTTTGGGCTCATAGCAAAAGCCCCAGTATGAGGCAACAAGGGGGCCTGAAAATGAGCTAGTGGACCGGACCCCAGAAATGAGAGAAGCCTTTTCCAAATTAAACCAGGCTCTCACCCAGGGTCCCACTCTTGGCATCCCAGACCTAAATAAGACCTTCTCCTTGTGTGTAGCAAAAAAGAGGCTACTCCCTTTGCAAACCACTCCGCCTTTCTGCAGGGTAGTTGGAAAATTGAAAGTACTTCTGATTGGTTGCTTTTTAATCAGTAAGAGCTGACAGGCAGTGGCAGACTCAGCGTCTTTATCACCAAAGAGTTCTTTCAGGACAGAACAAGGTACTGTGAAGCAGAATCACTGTGAAGTAGATTCACTGTGCAATGGTTACCATCTTCTCTGAGTCTAGTAAGACAGAACACACCATGCACAGAAGTCATATGAAATAAAGGCACCTTGCCACTCTTCCCTTTGTCTACTGAAGGCCACTTGCCACTGAGCAATGCACTTGCATCTCATCACCTGAGCATCATATCTGATCATGCAGCTGAGTTAGTCTTTCAGATTCAAAGCAACACAGACCCTCTGGACATCAAAGCAACTCTGTATTCCCAGCCCAACAATTTCTTACCTTAATGGCTAAATATGCTATTGACCACTAATGTATTACTATATATATATATATATATATATAATTGTACTTTAGTCTCTGGGATACATGTGCAAAGCATGCAGGATTGTTGCATAGGTACATACATGGCAATGTGGTTTGCTGCCTCCATCCCCCCAACAACTATATCTGGCATTTCTCCCCATGGTATACCTCCCCAACCTCCCTACCAGCTGCCGTCCCTCCCCAGTCCCTCCCAACAGACCCCAGTGTGTGATGCTCCCCTCTCTGTGTCCATGTGTTCTCATTGTTCAACACCCACCTATGAGTGAGAACATGCAGTGTTTGATTTTCTGTTCTTGTGTCAGTTTGCTGAGAATGACTGTTTCCAGATTCATCCATGTCCCTACTAAGGACACAAACAACACTTTTTATGGCTGCATAGTATTCCATGGTGTATATGTGCCACATTTTCCCTGTCCAGTCATCATTTCCATCATTGATGGGCATTTGGGTTTGCTCCAGGTCTTTGCTATTATGACAGTGCTGCAATGAACATACGTGTGCATGTGTCTTTATAATAGAACGATTTATAATCCTTTGGATATATACCAAGTAATGGAATTGCTGGGTCAAATGGAATTTCTATGTCTAGGTCCTTGAAGAATCACCACACTGTCTTCCACAATGGTTGAACTAATTTATACTCCCATCAACAGTGTAAAAGTGTTCCTACTTCCCCACATCCTCTCCAACATCTGTTGTCTCCAGATTTTTTAGTGATCGCCATTCTAACTGGCATGAGTTGATATCTCTATGTGATTTTGATCCACCTTTCTCTAATGACCAGTGAAAATGAGCATTTTTCATTTGTCTGTTGGCCTCATATATGTCTTCTTTTGAAAAGTGTCTGTTCATGTTGTTCACCCACTTTTGGATGCTTTTTTTTTGTTGTTTTCTTGTAAACCTGTTTTAGTTCTTTGTAGATTCTGGATATTAGCCCTTTGTAAGACAGGTAGATTGCAAAAAATTTTTTCTTGTTGTGTTGGTTGCCGGTTTGTGAAAACACCCTTTGGATTTTGCTGGCTTTTCACTTTCTCCCTACAACAGAGACATGAAACCACGTTAGGCTGTTGGATTGCAGTAGTAAGGAGCCATGGGCCATTTATTTTTAGAAATAAATTCTAAATACTTTAGAATTCATTCAATCATTGTTTTAGTTGGGGTTCTCCAGAGGGACAGAGTCCATAAAAATTTATATATATATATATCACAGAAAAGTCCCATGATAGGCTGCCTGCAAGCTGGGAAAAAAGAGAAGCTGGTAGCAGCTAAGTCCAAGTACTAAAGCTTCAAAATTAGAGAAGCTTGCAGTGCAGTCTTCAGTCTGAGACCAAAGACCAGAAAAACCCCAGGAGGCTTCTGGTGCAAGTCT